CCATCCTGCTTGTGTGTCATTGAGGCGTGAATCCGCCACCCTTTTAGTGTTCCAAACTGTCTGTTGCAGATACCACACACTGAAAACAGAAAGGATTAGAAAATACTGTTGCATAAACTGCTTGTCAGACCACTGATATGGAAATTTTCGAGACTATTTTCGTATATTATAAATGACGAACTTTTATGATTTCATCCATAAATGTGATTTTAGCAGTGAGAGATCAAAGGATAGCACATTCATTCGCTAAACTACTGACTCATGATCATTATTAACGTTTTTGAAATCATACCAATGCTATTATTCCCTTCAACTTGAACCACCGTGTATGGTTCTGTTTCCGGCACTTGCAACTCTCTTCGGAGTTGTTCCGGAAGATCCCGCAAATCCGAGCGGTGAAATACTTCCGGTGTTGCCGCAGCCAACGTCGTTTGCGTGGCTAGAACCGGAATTCGGATCGTCTTCGATCTTCTAAAATAAGCTTCAATTTAATACAAATTACTTAACTACTTCATTTATTGTACATTATTTAGCAGATAAAGCTAATACTTGTTCTATTACTTTGCTATACATTTGTTGCGAAAATTAAAGCTTACAAAACGAGTTCACGGATCGATTCTGCTGGTTCTATAATGCCACTCGCCTTCATTGGTGCCGCCGGTACCTCAGGTTCTTCTTCTCCATCGTCTGGCAAAGAGGCCCACTCTGCTCCGGATGGCCAAATTTCGGCCTCATCATCACTTTTAGGCAGAGGAGCAAACTCTGCCTCTTCTTCATTAAAGTCCGGCTCCTGAGGTACCAGTTCCTCTTCCATTTCTTCGTGAGAATTTCGCCCTTCGAATTCCTCCAACCTCCTCTCCGCCTCCTCCAAGCGGGTTAGGAGCGAAGTTTCAAACTGAAAAGGTGACAGTTTGCAACCTTATCTTAAATTTAGGCCATTTCTACAACCTATCGCGATCAGTTTATGATAAAGGATTAAAAGAAAACAAGGGTAAAAAAGCGAGATGAAGTGATTACCTCTATTGTTTCACTCACAAATTCCCGCAATACATGATGCATCATAGGCTCCTTTTCCAGGAAGTCCAAAACGTCGAAAATGTCGCGCTCCCCTGGATTTGTGCACATTCTACAAAATCAACAAGTTTACCAGACATTTGCCAAGTATAAAAATGCATGGTGGAAATATTATTTATGGAAAAATTAACAAATTTTTACAATCCACTTCACTTAAAACTGGCCACAATAGTACTTAATACATGTGCCAAACACCAAAAACCTTGCATTTTTTTAAAATTTAATCTAATTCTCACACAAAATAAATTTTCAATAATTCGACAAACCAACCTAAAAAATGACACGAATTAATACTGATGAAAGCAAAGAGTGTGCACTATATTTCTTAGTAATATAAATTGTTTCTTCTGTTTAAGATGATATGCAAATATATTACTTAATGTGTCTAAAATCACTGTAGAAAGGACATTTTTATTTACGTCCATTTCTAAAGGATATTAACTGCTCTAATTCCATCTTCCCATATTATATACTTTATGTCAGTGTTTTTCTGCACAGAAAAAAAGAGGAAAAAATGATTATTTTTTTAACTTATTGTCAATT